TCAGCGTCAAAAGTAAGAACATTGGGGGTGGCCATGGCAGCAGCTGAAAGTCTCACCGGGCTGGGAGAGTCGGGTAGGTCAGCAGCAGAGGAACACAGCTCAGGAACAGCAGCACGGCTCCTCAGGCGGCTCGGGCGGCTCGGGCGGCTCGGGCGGCTCGGGCGGCTCGGGCGGCTCTGGCGGCTCGGGCGGCTCGGGCGGCTCGGGCGGCACGGGCGGCTCGGGCTGCTCGGGCGGCGGCTCGGCCGCAGCTCAGCGGCGGCTCGGGCGGCGGCTCAGGTGGCCCGGGGGCGGCTCAGGCGGCTGCGGCTCGGCGGCGGCTCGGCGGCGGCTCGGCTGTTGCTGGGCGGCTCGGCGGGGCCGCGTAGCAGAGGGCGGCGGGGCCGCGTAGCAGAGGGCGGCGGGGCCGCGACCGAAGAGGGCGGCGGGGCCGCGTATCAGAGGGCGGCGGGGCCGCGTAGTAGAGGGCGGCGGGGCCGCGTAGCAGAAGGCGGCGGGGCCGCGTAGTAGAGGGCGGCGGGGCCGCAATCGAAGGGCGGCGGGGCCGCGTATCAGAGGGCGGCGGGGCCGCGTGGCAGAGGGCGGCGGGGCCGCGTAGCCGAGGGCGGCGGGGCCGCGATCGAAGGGCGGCGGTGGGGCCGCGTAGCAGAGGGCGGCGGGGCCGCGATCGAAGAGCGGCGGGGCCGCTAGGGAAGGGCGGCGGAGCCGCTAGGGGAAGGGCGGCGCAACGGGCCGCTAGGGGCGACACGACGGGTCGCTAAAAAAAAGAACGCGCGCCTCGGGGCGCGCTTCGGTGGGCCCTAAGAACAGTCCCTAGGAGGGGACCTGCTCTGATTCCATGAGAAGAATTGAACGAGAATGAATGACTATGAAGTGAAGTGAATACAAATAGGAAACCCTAATGTGTTGTACCCCCTATGGGATACCCCACTATAGCCTACACAAACAAGTAAGCTATATGTTCTGACAGAGACGTATATATATAAGGCTAAACAAGCAAGAGCAGGTATATATATATGCAAGAGTACAAGCAAGGTCAAGAGGTGAGCAGGTGAGGCAAGACTGGGACAAGTCCCAGCTGAGTGCAGAAGCGCTGATGATCACAAGGCGGAAGTGCCTTGGTGAAAACATCAACTGTGTTGGCCTCAGAGGCCACGTACGCAAGTCGCAACTGACCACGCTGCTGCAGCTCACGAGCAAGAAAGTAACGGAGAGAAATGTGCTTCGTTCTGTGCTCCAAGCGCTGCTCTCAGACACAAGGCCAGCATGGCCTTGTTGTCTACGTACAGCACTGAAGGAGAATGAGGCGGCTCTCCAAGGTCAGTCAGCAGGTAGGTGAGCCAGCAAAGCTCCTGTGCAGCCATGGCCCCGGCGTAGATCTCAGCCTCACAACTGGAGCTGAGAACAGAAGACGAGCGAGTAGCCTGCCACGAGACAGAGCCGGAACCAAGACTGAAGGTGTAACCCTGCGACGACTGCTGCGTAGCCAAGTCGTCAGCCCAAGAAGCGTCCGCGTGCCTAGTGAGGACCACTGGACTCCGCCCTCCAAGCACTAGCCCCATGCCCGACGTACTGCACAAGTAGCGCAACACCCTCTTCGCTGCAGCCATGTGCTCTGGTCTGTGTCTCCCAGGAGCAACATAGCGTGCAAGAATGCTAAGAGGGTATGCAAGGTCAGGTCGTGTGCAGGTCATCAGGTATATGAGGCAGCCAACAAGCTCTGGGTACGGGCCACTCGACTCTACGGACTCATCCGAAGGCAGAGCTGAGAGCGAGTGGCGAGTAGACAGAGGAGTGGCCTGAGGCGAGGAGTACGTGAAGCGGAAGCGCTGAAGGACCTGCTGCACCATGTGTGACTGAGTCAAGGTAATGGTGCGGCGTGCCGTGTCCCGAGTGATCTTCAAGCCAAGGTAGCTGCGCAGTTCACCCAGGTCTGTGCACGTGTGTCTCTTCTGCAGCTCGGACTTCACGTAGGCGAGACCAGCAGTGTCCGCTGTGGCAAAGACCAAGTCGTCGACGTACACGAGGATGTAGAACGGCGGCAGAGAAGTGTCGGTGCGTAGAAACAGCGACGGGTCAGCAGTAGAGGGAGCAAACCCAAGAGCCGCAAGCGTAGTCCTCAGTGTGTCGTGCCGCTCACGCGGTGCCTGGCGGAGACCGTAGACTGGCTGTCGGAGGCTCCACTGGGTGCCAGGAGGGAAAGTCCCAGTGAAGCCAGGTGGACGGCGCAGCCAGATCTCCTCGTGCAGGCTACCTTGCAGGAAAGCTGTGCTGAAGTCAAGGGAGTGAAGCTCGTAGTCGCGCTGCGCGGCTATGTGTAGTAGCACCCGGAGAGTGGTCATCTTCGAGGTGGGAGAGAAAATCTGAAAGTAGTCAACTCCCTGCCGCTGACTGAAGCCACGAGCTACGTACCGCGCCTTGAAGACAGGTGGAGAGCCCGGCGGCCGCTTCACCCTGAAGATCCATATGCCATTGACGATGTTCGCCCCAGGAGGGGGAACCGCGTCAACGTAGGTGCCTGTGGACTTCCAGGAAGCCATCTCTGCATCCATAGCTGCCTGCCACTGAGAGGAGTAGGGACCCTCTACGGCCTCCGCGTAAGAGCGCGGAGTCGGGATGTCAAGTGCATCCGGGTCTCCCTCAGGGGCAAGCAGTACAGACGCGAGATGAGGTGAAGCAGCAGCCAGACACTGGAACTCCTCCTGCCTGTCCTCAAGGACGTCCGTGCCAAGAGCACACTCACCCCCGACGGACGGAGGACAGACAGACGCAGACTCAGCAACAAGACTAGCAGCGTAGTCTAGGCGACAGCGAGCAGCAAAGTCGACGAGCTCAGTAACCAGAGCAGACGCAGCAGAGGACTCAAAAGAGGGGTCAGTGACGACAGTAGCGAGAAGACGCGTGACAGTAGGACTGGCAGCGCGAAGAGAGTCCGACTCCGGGTCGGCAAGCACAGGAAGAGAGGACTCAGGAGGAGAAGGCAGAGACATCCGGACGCAGAGACATCCGGTGCGTGCCAGGGACAGGAGGAGGACGCTGACGCGAACCGCGACCACTAGCGCGAGCAGCACGAACAGGCGACGCGAGACGAGACGGAGGCTCACGACGCTCAGCAAGACCTCCAGTAGGACCAGCGTAGGGAGAAGGAGCAGGGAGAGGGGAGGCCGGCGGTAACTGTGACTGTGACTGGACAGGCGGTGGACACTCTACGGGAGGAGGAAGACCAAGAACCTGCTGAAGGAGCGGAACGAAGTACGGCCGAGGCCGCGCGGCAACTCCAGACACAGCAGAGACAGCACCAGCACCCTCAGCGGCAACACCAGCACCGCCAGCACCAGCAGTACCCGCAGCGGAACCGCTGGCAGGACCAACAGCAGTAGCCCTCGTGCCAACACCCTCCGCAGAACGAGCACCAGTCGTACTCGCAGGTACAGCAGCTCCAGCACCCTCAACGGCCGAAGAAACTACAACTCCAGCAGTACGCCTCCAGCGCCGAGCAAACCACTCGCGCAGCTCCTGTGGAGAGAGTGGCTCCCGCCGAGACGAAGCACCGAGAGAACCACCAGGCCCAGCACCGCCAGACGGCACACAAGCAGGTCCAGCGGCCGCGGGCTCCGCACCCCCAGGCTCTGCAGCTCCAGACTCAGCACCCCCAGGCTGAGCAGCTCTAGACGTAGCATCCCCAGGCGAAGCAGCTCCAGACTCTGCACCTCCAGACGCAGGACTCCCAGGCTCAGCACCCCCAGGCGCAGCACCCCCAGGCTCAGCACCCCCAGACTCAGCACCCTCGGGCTCAGCACCCGAAGTCGCAGTACCCTCAGGCTAAGCACCCACGCGCACAGCACCCCCAGCAGTACCAGAGTGTCCAGCAACCTCGACCGGCTCGACTGCGTCTACCTGGGACACACCTGAAGGGGCAGGACCCTGAGGCGGTAGGGGGTCTACTGGGGGGGGACCTGGTACCAGGAAGTGCGGAGGCGGGGGGAGGGACGGAGTGCGGTAGGGGAAGAGGCGGTAGAAGGGGACGGATTCCTCGAACGTGACGTCCTGGGAGGACAGAACACGACGAGAGGCGGGGTGGTAGAACTGCCACCCTGGCGCGTCAGGGGGGAAGCCAAGGAAGACACAGGGAGCAGCACGAGGGGACAGCTTGTCCGCAGACAAGTCGCGGACAAACGCCCGAGATCCCCAGACACGGAACGCAGACGCATCGCCGACCTTCCCCGTCCACAGCAAGGCTGGGGAGGTCTCCGGCCGGGAGACCCTGGGGTGAAGGTTGAGGTGATGCGCCGCGTATCGAACCGCAAACGGCCACAGAAAATGGGGGGCAGCCGCATGCATCATGGACGTACGAGCGACGTCCATGACCATGCCGATGCGGCGCTCAGCAATCCCATTCTGCTGCGGAGAGTCCGGAAGCGTAAAGGTCTGGCAGATGCCTCGTGCACGACAGTAGGCTCGCAGAAGGCCAGAGGAGAACTCTCCACCTCGGTCAGAGTGCAGACGCAGAACAGGAAAGTCCGAGCCGAAGCTCCTCCTGATCTGGAGACGAGCTGCGCGGATCCAGTCGATCAACACCTCAGTGACATCACCCTTGCTGTGTAAGGGGAAGACCGTGGTGTAACGCGAGTAGTCGTCAACCACCAGCAGGAAGTAGGGCTCGTGACTCTGTCCACGGACGCGGGCCGGGCTCCACACGTCCATGTGAAGCGTCTGCAGAGGAGCCTCTGTCGGGGGAAACTGGGAGGAGTGAGGGGCAGCCCGGAGCCGCCCCTCGACACAGGGGACACAGGAAGGTCCTGGCCCCGAAAGAAGGGGAGGGAGAGACTGAGGAAGACCAGAGACAAGGACACGGGAAGCCATGCCCTGAAGACGCGGCAAGGAGGGGTGGCCCAGACGGTGGTGCCACAGGAGAGTCTCGTGAGACAGGAGGCGACACGAGAAGGGGGCAGACTCAGGACCAGACCGGGACGCAGCAGCAAACACCTGACCCGACGCAGCTACCTGGCCAAACGCAGGGACAGGAGGAGACTCAGTGGTCAGGGTGTAGAGACTCGACCCCGGCCGACGTGAGAATGTGGCCAGGTGTCGGCCTGTGCGGGCGTCCGAGCAGTGGGTCACCTGCTGACTCGCAGGAGTAAACTGGTGAACCCCCGCATCCTGCAGGTCAGCACCACTCACCAAGTTCATCGAGAACGAGGGGAGGTACAGACCAGACAGAGTGCCCGAGGGGGCAGCCGGACACGGGAGGACAGTGGAGAAGTGAGAGAGGACAGGGCCCCCAGAGGGGTCAGCCAGGGAGACTGCAACCGGCCGACCAAGCGGCGTGAGTGTGGTGCGGTCTCGAAAGAAGGAGCGAGAAGCCCCTGAGTCAAGTGTGAAGGTGAGGGAGGCCGAAGCCGACGCAGTACCTGAGAGCGCAGCCTCACCAGTACCTGAGAGCGCAGACGCACTGGCACCTAGAGCAGCAGCCTCACAAGCACCTAGCGCAGCAGTACCAATGCCCGGGTCGGGCGGGAAACATCGGTAACAGTCACCCTCATCACTAATAGTCACAGCATACATGGCAGCAAGGATAGCATCAAAGTCAAGATCAAAGATAGCTACGCCAGCCCTAGACAGCTCTCCCCAGCGGGGAATCTCACTAGCCTCGGGGAACTGCTGACGCCAAGCGTCCGTCAGGCGGCCAAAGCAGCGCTGAGTGGAGTGGGCACCCCCACACTGCTCACCCGCGCGGTCGCCGGAACGGAGGACGTAGGTGCACGGACCAAAACCCCCACCACGCTGACGTTGCGTGTACCACTCACGGAGCTGCTGAGGCGGGGGGATGTCCCGAGAACGCTGCTGCTGCTGCTGCTGCTGCTGGCGCTGACCACCACCAAAGCCGCTCTGCTGCGGGGCACCACCCCGACCAGCTCCACCCCCTCCGCCACCACCGCCTCCACCTCCGCCACCACCGCCGCCTCCGCCTCCGCCACCACCGCCGCCGCCACCGCCTCCGCCTCCGCTGCTGCCACCACCACCGCCACCCCCGCCACCACTCCCACCGCCACCCCCACTCCCTCCGCCCGCTCCACCGCCACCTCCACCGCCCCCGCCAGCTCCACCCGCGCCCTTGCCCCCCTTGCCCTTGCTAGGGCGGCGTCTCCCGCTAGGGGCAGACGCCGCGCCGACCGACTCAAGGCCAAGCAGGTCGGCGGCAGCGGTAGAGGCAACAGAGGGCAGCAGGGGGGAAGGAGAACACCCCTCAAAGATGGGGGTGCGAGGGTCACCACGAGAAGCTCCTATAGCGACGATGCTCTTCTCCGCTGCCACGAGGGCCTTCTCGAGGAGGTCAACAGTGAGAGTGGTGGGACAGACCGAGAGGAAGTGGTCCCTGACTACGCGAAGGGAGTCAGGGAGGCGGGTGACTATGTAATAGAGAGTGATGTACATGGGGGGGGGGTTCTTAGCGCAGAACTCAGCAGGAAGCGCGGCGCGGTAGCGAGTGTCACTAGTGCGGAGGTGCGTAATGAGGTCAGCGACTGTGGGAAAGGAAGCAAGGTCAGGAAAGAGGTACGGTAGCATGAGGCGGCTCAGTGCAGCAGAGGCAGGGGAAGAGTAGCGCGCAACTACAGCGTCGTACAAGGTCTGAGCACTCTTGTACTGACTAAAGTGCGCGCGCTCAGTGGTATGGAGGTGGCGACGCATAGCAAGACGTGCAGCAGCATCGCGGGTGGCCCACTGAGAGCGAACAGTGGGGTCAGCATCAGCAGCAGGGGCAGGAGAGGCGCCAGAGGTGAGGTCAAAGAGAGACAGACCGTCCGCCCTATCGCACTGTAGAAACAGCTGCAGGTCGTCGACCCAGACCTCAAAGTCAATGGCTCGACCCTCAGCGTCAAAAGCGAGGACACTAGGGGTGGCCATGACGACAGACTAGCAGTGCAAGCAGTGGGGGGAAGGGCACGCAGTAGCAGTGGGGCTGTGCTCACCAGACAGGGCGGGTCGGGCGGCTCGGCAGCGGGGCGGCTCGGCGGCTGGGCTGCTCGGCGGCTCGGCGGCTGGGCGGCAGGGCGGCTCGGCGGCTCGGCGGCGGGCTGCTGGGCAGCTCGGAAGTACTGCGGCTCGGCGGCTCGGCTGCTGAGCGGCCCGGCTGCTGGGCGGCTCGGCTGCACAGCGGCTAGGCGGCTCGGCTCCTCCGGTACTCGGTGGCGCGGCGGGCGGCTGCTCGGGTGCACGCTGCAGGGTGGTGCAGTGGGCAGCGGCTCGGGTGGCACGGTAGGGGAGGAGAGCGGCGGGGCCGCTAAGGAAGGGCGGCGGAGCCGCGTGAGCTGGGCGGCGGGGCCGCGAAGCAGGGCGGCGGGGCCGCTTAGCAGAGGGCGGCGGGGCCGCGGTAGCAGGGCGGCGGGGCCGCTGTAGCAGGGCGGCGGGGCCGCGAAGGAAGGGCGGCGGGGCCGCTAAGGAAGGGCGGCGGGGCCGCGAAGTGCAGGGCGGCGGGGCCACTGAAGGAAGGGCGGCGGGGCCGCGAGGTGCAGGGCGGCGGGGCCGTCGAAGCAGGGCGGCGGGGCCGCGAAGTGCAGGGCGGCGGGGCCGCTGAAGGAAGTGCGGCGGGGCCGCGAGGTGCAGGGCGGCGGGGCCGTCGAAGCAGGGCGGCGGTGCCGCTTAGCAGAGGGCGGCGGGGTCGCGTTAGCAGAGCGGCGGGGCCGCGATGGAAGGGCGGCGGGGCCGCTAAGGAAGGGCGGCGGGGCCGCGATAGCAGGGCAGCGGGGCCACGAAGGAGGGGCGGCTGGGCCGCGAAGGAAGGGCGGCGGGGCCGCGAAGGAAGGGGCGGCGGGGCCGCGAAGGAAGGGCGGCGGGGCCGCGATAGAAGGGCGGCGGGGCCGCGAAGCGTAGGGCGGCAGGGCCGCTAGGGGAGAGAAGGCCGCTAGGGCGGCTCGGTAAGTGAATAGCCCGAGGCGCGACTCGGGATGAGTGCGCTTCGGGCAGTAAAAAAAAATCGAAGTGGTGGGCCCTAGGCGCAGTTCCTACAGGGGAACCTGCTCGATACCATAAGAAGATTTGAACGAGAATGAAGCAACTATGAATGAAGTGAGTACATATATGAAACCCTAATTGGGTTGTACCCCCTATGGGATACCCCACTATAGCCTACACAACAGCATAAGCTATAATGTTCTGACAGACTGTAGAGGGGGGGCTATATTTTGGACATATATGAAAAATCTAGTCGTTGGGAAAAAATGGCCTATCATAGGAAGAACCTAAAGCCAGAACATTTGTACAGATGTTCCAGGTTAGAGGCCCTCGTTGAGAGAGTCCCTTTTCCCCCCTGAGTAGAATTTTTTAATATCGCCTAGGGTTGGCCCGACCCCTATAGTCCCTTTTTTGGCGGGAAAATTTGCAGCTTGACCGAATCATTGCACGAATCAGCTCCGCAGCCAATCAGAGGCTCCAGTTCAAACCAGCCCAACATTCAAAGAAAACGATGAAGAGATCATCGATTCGATATTTTAACATTTTAATGGTAAGTAATTGTTTCTCTTGACCGCGACTACTTCCCAATCCTGTCGCGCTGTCTCCAATGCGATCCATGATGACATCTCATTTATCTCGCTTACAGGGTAGAAACGAAGTTTTTGTGTTACTATTCGATCCCAAAACCATATTTGGATTTGTTTTGTTTTGACCGTTAGTCATGCGACATTGATCGGCGTGGAAAACCGTGCGACTGGAAGTTCAAGCAAGCGCGGTCCAAATCTACGTAAATGCCAGACTCCACAAACTAGCAGCAAAACAACCACTCTTCATGCGATTTTCCTAAACGGGACTATAAGTATCGTGTTTTGCTTAGGGTTTGAAGGGTTCGCCACACAGTCCGAGCGCGGCGATGTTGATCCGTCGGACTAGAACATCTGTACAGTTGTAGAGTGAAATAAATACCACAATTTTTGTCGACTTCGCGCGAAGGGATCTGAACGGATCTGAACTGAATCCAACTGATTTCCAGATTGCAGAACACAAATGGAAACAGTGTACACCTGATGCCTATTTCAGTCCCCTTCCCCATCTTTCCCTGTGCTCCTCTCTCGAGCACGCGCTCCCCATGGGGTCGCAGGCAATTTTGGGCTTCCGAGCCTAGTAAAATTGACCCTTTGGATATGGTTCTGCTCTTCCTCTCTAACTCCCGAACAGGGCCGAATTTTGAGTTGATCACGCAATGTGCGTGATTGTGATCACGCAATGTCACTTATAGCCCAAGACTTGAACTACTCAACGGAAGTCAATGCTAAAAACTAGGTTCGGAATGCAGGCTTGTAGAGGTTCGGTTGGGTTGCGAGACACTTTCACTCGCGAAACCAATTTGCGACAAATGTTTCTCGCTTGCCATGTTGGGTTGGGTCCTTCCCACACCCAGAAAAGCATGTGCATGTCAAACTGTGCACAGTTTGAGAAAGCGTGCATAGTATTAGGACGTGTGAGATTTTTTATGGAGTTCGTAATCAGGGTCGAACTTTTGGTGGTTACCCTTTTCGCCAATGTTCGCTAACCGCCTCGCCGAAGTCGAAACAAATTCCCCGTTTGGGAAGTGCGAACCCTCATTTGTGAACTTGATACAGAAAAATTCGTGAACTTGCACAAACACAAAGATCCAAACGTGTGTGGTGTCAGGCACGTACGAGGTTTCAGCGAACCTCGCGACTCATTCGTGCGCCAATGAGATCACAACCAAGACACAGCGCATTGCTGAACTCGCTATGGCCACCACGTGGCACAATTCGTGCCACGATGGCTAGTCGTGCGCGCGTCTCTCCCAGCGCACACGATGGGGCCATGAAATCCCGCCAACATTCTTGACATCTTCGTCAAGAATGTTGCAGCTCCCCAACACCAACCCTCAAGCATTAAAAAAGAGGTCTAGCATGCTTTCACACCGTGTTGACGGAATGACAGACCATGACCGAGACGGTTTAGTCCCATAGCGACGAAAATGAAGGAGAACATGGGATGCGTCCGCGTAGAGGTGTTGGTTCGCTGGTATTGGCACACGAGGTAAATGAATACACGCCGGTCCACGCGCATGTACTCGTAAAACTTATCCTCGGGCAGCAGGGTAATCAGCTTGAACCACCGCATGCGGGCATCCTGGCGATCCCCACGGACGAAGACGCGGGTCTGTCGCAGAGTGAAGGCAGCGACGAGCCTGGGGATGGCCGCACCAATGGCAGTGAGCATTGGAAGTTCGAGGCATCGCAGGTAGCCTTGAAACACAATCCCCAGGAAACGCACGAGCTGAATGAGAGTCATTGTGAGATGCTGACTTGGAAATTGGTTCATCTCGCCGATATTTGTATCGTGCACAACTGCCACAGATGTGAAGTTGAGCTGGAGGTCTAGGGCTCACTTTTTTTAGCAGCGCTCCGGTGACGTGTCGCGCTGTGGTGTGCTTGAAACCGGGTAACCTACAGTCTCCAATTGCGGCTCGGTTCCCCCTCTGTAAATTCGAACTTGCAAATTCGCACCTTGGTGTGTGATTGTGAGTATACAAGAATTTGCACTCGCGGTGCGAACCTTGCCACATCTCAAAATCGATTCAAGTTCAGGTTATAAAACCCTGCTTAAATCGAGTAAAAAACGTGAACTTTCATAAACCCTTGTTTCACACACGTCCTTAGGTGTAAAGCATACCTGGAGAATGGGCAAACTGCGTTCAGTCGAGATAAATCGGAGGCGCATTACGAAGGTCGAAAAGCGCCGATTAAACCCTAAATCCCGTCGCAAATGCATTGCCCGTCGCCTTCACTTCCCCCACCCTCGCCTTCACTCCCCCACTACCGTCGCCTGCATTTCCCCCTCCCGTCGCCTTCACTTCTTCCTCCTGTCGCCTTCACTTCCCCACCCCACCCCCCCCCCCCGTTGCCTTCATTTCCCCCTTCTGTCGCCTTCACTTCCCCCTCCCGTCGCCTTCATTTCCCCCTCCCGTCGCCTTCGTTTCCCCCTCCCGTCGCCTTCACTTCTTCCTCCTGTCGCCTCCACTTCCCCACCCCACCCCCCCCCCGTTGCCTTCATTTCCCCCTTCCGTCGCCTTGACTTCCCCCTCCCGTCGCCTTCATTTCCCCCTCCCGTCGCCTTCATTTCCCCCTCCCGACGCCTTCATTTCCCCCTCCTATCGCCTTCATTTCCCCTTCCCGTCGCCTTCATTTCCCCCTCCTGTCGCCTTCATTTCCCCCTCCCGTCGCCGTCACTTCCCCCTCCCGCTGCCTTCATTTCCCCCTCCCGTTGCCTTTATTTCCCCCTCCCGTCGCCTTCATTTCCCCCTCCCGCCGCCTTCACTTCCCCTTCCCGTCGCCTTCATTTCCCCCTCCCGTCGCCTTCATTTCCCCCTCCCGCCGCCTTCATTTCCCCCTACCGTCGCCTTCATTTCCCCTTCCCGTCGCCTTCATTTCCCCCTCCCATCCCTCCGCCCTCACATCCCATCCCTCCGCCCTCACATCCCATCCCTCCGCCCTCACATCCCATCCCTCCGCCCTCACATTCCATCACTCTGCTCTCGGTGGGAGTGTGCAGAAGGCTCACATTGTCAAGGCTGTGGCAGGCAGCAGTAACGGCAAAGCACGCCACCCCAGCAGCCTCCTCGGCGTGCATCATCTCTCGCAGCAGCAGGTCGTCGGCGTGCGGGGGAAGCCAATTGCCACGCGCACTCCCACCACTATCACAGCGGGTGGAAGAGCATGGCCTGCCCGCACGGAGGCATTGCAGAGGTGTGGTAGGCGCACACTATCTGCAACGCTGTGATGATCCTGGTGGTGGGGCAGAAGGAGGAGCACAAGGCATGGGGCACAAGGGACAGTGTTTTGAGGGGCGGAGGTAAAGGTGGGGGGAGGGGGAAAGGAAGGAGGTGGGAAGCAGCGCTCGTATGTTGAGCTCGTTGTGGGAGAAGCCGAGGGGCAGCGGGTGGAACAGCATGGCCTGCCCCCACGGAGGTTCCGATCCATCATTTTGAGGTGTGGTAGGTGTACGCTGTCTGCAGTGCATCATTGTGATGATCCCGATAGTTGAAAGGAAGGGAGCGAGAGGAGGGTAGGGCGAGGGAGTGCAGAGGGCATAGGGCGCAAGGCATGGAGCGCCGTAGATTGACTTAGAAGCTTGCTTGCGAGGCATGGCGTGTTGTAGGTTGACAGAAACTTGCTTGCGAGGCATGATGTGTTGTATGTTGACTTGATAGCTTGATTGCAACGCATGGTGTGGTGTAGGTTGACTCATTTGTGGTGTACAATGTGTTACAACAGCGTCGAGTCTTATACTACAAAGCAACTTTTGCTGTAATACAAGCGCATGGTGCACAAGCTACGTGATGAAGACAGGTTTGATCTTGCACTGTAGGGTAATTGTGCAGAAGAAGTAGCCTCTGCATCCATCCAATAGGACATGAATAGGTTATGATAGCACTTACAAGGATGGAAGGAAGGGAGTGGGGGAAAAACAGAGAGAGGGAGGATGTGACCAACGGTGGGATGGTGGAGAGTTAGAACCGAGAGCGGGAGGATGAGAGGACGGGTGGGAGGGTGAGAAGATGAGAAGGGAGGATGAGAGGAAGAGAGGATGAGAGGAAGGGCGGATAAGAAGAAGGGAGGATGAGAGGAAGGGAGCATAAGAGGAAGGGCGGATGAGAGGACGGGAGGATGGGAGGATGAGAAGATGAGAGGAAGGGAGGATGAGAGGACGGGGGGATGAGAGGAAGGGAGAATGCGAGGAAGGGCGGATGAGAGGAAGGGAGGATGAGAGGACGGGAGGATGGGAGGATGAGAAGAAAGGGAGGAAGGAAGGATGAGAGGAAAGGAGGATGAGAGGACGGGAGGATGAGAGGAAGGGAGCATGAGAGGAAGGGCGGATGAGAGGACGGGAGGATGGGAGGATGAGAAGATGAGAGGAAGGGAGGATGAGAGGACGGGGGGATGGGAGGAAGGGAGAATGCGAGGAAGGGCGGATGAGAGGAAGGGAGGATGAGAGGATGGGAGGATGGGAGGATGAGAAGATGAGAGGAAGAGAGGATGAGAAGATGAGAGGACGGGAGGATGGGAGGTTGAGAAGATGAGAGGAAGGGAGGAAGAGAGGTTGAGAAGATGAGAGGAAGAGATGTCAGACAGCAGGTCAAAGCTTCGGAAGACACAAAGTGACTCGGTTTGTGTTTTCCGAACCTAAATTTGCCAGCATTCCGAGGTCCTTTGGGTCTTCCCAACCTCAACTTCGTGTCTGGCTTCGTGTCTGACACGGGATAGAAAACTACCCTAAGGGCGCGTGTGGTCTGTTTAGAAGTTCAAAATAAAGTTCGAACTTTGGGTGGTTACCCTATTCGCTAATTTCGCGAAGGGTGCTTCGCGAACCAAGCATTGTATGGGCTCTGCAAAAGTTCGAGTTTGAAATATGAACTTGACTTGAGTCGGAGGTGGGAACGTGCGTGCGCACGTTCATGCGAGCGTGTGTGATTTGCAGCACGTCCAAACAGCTGGCGAAATGGGCGAGCGCTTCGCCAGTGCATGAAGTTGCACAACGAAGACACCCCACAATTCGTGCACACAGTGGTAGCCACGTGTCCAGCATCGTGGCACGTTCGAGCACGATGTGGCAACGCGGGCGAATGACGAGTATACAAGGTGTTGCCACGGGTGCTATTTGTACCCTGGTTACACACTCGGCGCGGAAGGTGAGTTGGAGCTCTAGGTCCTTGTAAACCGAGGCGCAAAATGTTGACGTGGCGCACTGTCAAGACGAGCGAACCGGGTAACCTATGATGTTGACGTGCGGCTCGGCTCGTTTTTACAAGTTCGAATGTCGGGGTTCGACCTTGTATGTGTGTGTGATTTTTTACAGTGTGGTAAGCCCGATGTTCGAACTTCGATAGAAGGAAATTCGAACTTCTTTCGTTGTAAGTTCAAAACTAAAATTCTCCCTAAAAACATAAACTTTTACAAATTTCAAAGACCTCACGCGCCCTAACATTCACAGATACGCAGTAGTTTGTAAACACACACGGTTCACACACATCGCGTTGTCTGAACTGATCATAACATTCATCATAAGTCTCGGCTCTGGCCTCGCTACAGTCACAGCGTCGCCGGTAGTAGTGCTATGACCCCGGCGAGCTGCAGCGTCACGAGCCGCGTAGCCGTCTAGAAGTCGGCGAAAGAAACGGCTACGAGAGAGTCTGCGAGAGAAGCTACCGTCATGGCGGAGGACCGAGTTATACTAGGCGATGCGACTGCCCTCAAGACGCTGAGAGAGAAAAAGGATGATAATGCTTCGGGAGGTCCCATAATTTTCTCCGCAGGAGTGCTATTCCAGGGTAAGAGTGACAAAAACGAATGGGTGGTTCACGCGCTTTAGAAATCCATGTTAGTTCGCGAACAGGGGGACGTCAGATAGTCGACAACATCGAGGCGCTAACCTAGCGCGCACCGTTCTCGGTTTGAGTGGTGAATCACGAGGATCAGTACTGTAGAATGTTAAAAACAGATCCCGATTGCTCCCGCCGGCGGGACCTCACCAGGTTCGTATAGAATTGAACAGGTTCGTTGAGTGGCGACGCCATGCAAAGCCGCCTGGCTCGCCCTGGAAATGTGGAAAAAGTGCACGCAGCTTTTGATAAGCAATTTAGTGATTTTTTAGTCGACTTTAAAATTCACAAAGGTGGAAAAAGGGACCGCAGCTTTTGATAAGCAATTTTGACACGGAGTTCGACACGCAGTTTGACACGCATTCCGACATGAATGCTCTAGTCGTATTGGCGAGGCGGGAATGGATTGACCGCGCGCGGAAATTCCAATCCGGAATGCGTGGACGGAGAGTTGAGAGCGGAAACACGCGCGGAATGCGAGTGGCTGTAACGCCTACGGGCTTTCACGAAGGGTTAAAAGACAACCGCCGCGCCGCAAAGCGGAAACGGGCGCGAAATGAGAGCGGAATGCGTTCGCAATGAGGGCGGAAAAGTGCGGGGAACAAATGCGGAAGGCGTGCTGATCGAACAAGTGCAATTATTCCTTCCCCCCTCGCATTCATGGCCTTATCGGTACAGGTCTTCCTTCACCCAATTCCCCCCATCCGATTCCCCCCTTACACCCCCCCCCCCCCACCCGATTTCCCCCACCCGATTCCCCCACCCGACTCCCCACACCCGATTCCCCCACCCGATTCCCCACACCCCTCACCCGCCTTCCCCTCAACCGCCTTCCCCTCACCCGCCTTCCCCTCATCCGCCTTTCCCCCTCATCTGCCTTGCCCCACCATCCGCCTTCCCCTCATCCGCTGTCCCCCCACCCACCCCCTTCCCCCTCTCGCTTGCCCAGCCATCTGGTTCGCGGCATGGGTGCTGTGTGGTTTAGTAGGAGCAGTATCTCCTCTCATTCTTAGTTTAGTAGGAGCAGTATCTCCTCTCATTCTTAGTTTAGTAGGAGCAGTATCTCCTCTCATTCTTCTTTTCTTCTTCCTCGCCCTCCCCTCGTTCTCTTCTCTCATTCAATTTTCTCTCTCCCTTCGCTCTCCGTTTGTTCTCCTGATCAGCTCTTCCTTCTCCCTCCCCTCTCTTCCCTCGCTCCCTCCCCTCTCTTCCCTCGCTCCCTCCCCTCTCTTTCCTCGCTCCCTCCCCTCTCTTCCCTCGCTCCCTCCCCTCTCTTTCCTCGCTCCCTCCCCTCTCTTCCCTCGCTCCCTCCCCTCTCTTCCCTCGCTCCCTCCCCTCTCTCGCCCCTCTCCCTCACCCAGCGCCCTGGTTCACAGTGCTGGTGGCGGCGTGGGTGCTGTGTTCTCTGGCCGTGGCTGCTCTGCCTGATCAGCTCTCGCTTCTCATTCTGCCCTCTCTCGCCTCTCTCTCCACCTCTCTCCCCCTCTCTCGCCCTCTCTCCCCCTCTCTCGCCCTCTCTCCCCCTCTCTCCCCCTCTCTCCCCCTCTCTCGCCCTCTCTCCCCCTCTCTCGCCCTCTCTCCCCCTCTCTCCCCCTCTCTCGCCCTCTCTCCCTCTCTCTCCCCCTCTCTCCCCCTCTCTCCCCCTCTCTCGCCCTCTCTCCCCCTCTCTCCCCCTCTCTCGCCCTCTCTCCCCCTCTCTCCCCCTCTCTCGCCCTCTCTCCCCCTCTATCCCCCTCTCTCCCCATCTCTCCCCCTCTCTCGCCCCTCTCTCCCCCTCTCACCCTTCTGATTCTGCCCCCTCTCCCCCTCTCACCCTCTCCTCCTCTTTCGCCCCTCTTTCGCCCCTCTCTCACCTCTCTCTCGCCCCTCTCTCCCCCTCTCTCCCCTTCTCTCCCCCTCTCTCCCCCTCTCTCCCCCTCTCTCACCCCTCTTTCGCCCTCTCTCGCCCCTCCCTCGGCTCCCTCTCACCTCTCTCTCGCCCCTCTCTCTCTCGCCCCTCTCTCGCTCGCCCCTCTCCCTTGCCCAGCGCCCTCGCGCACAGTGCTCGTCGCAGCATGGGTGCTGTGTGTGTGGGCTGGTGGAGGTTGCGGCATGCCTGCTCTACTGGAAGCACTCGCAGTATAAGGATTGCACCCCTAAGCTTACCCCTTTTCCTCCTTCACTCTCTCGCTCTCCCCCTCTCACTCTCCCTCCCCTCTCCCCCCCCCGCTCAGCGCCCTGGTTCACAGTGCTGGTGGCGGCGTGGGTGCTGTGTGGGCTGGCCGTGGCAGCCTGGCTGTTCTACTCCAAGCACTTGCATTTCGAGGATTTCCCTCCTAAGCTTAACCCGTGTCCTCTCTCGCCTCCTTCTCACTCACCCCCCGCCCAGCCCCCTGGTTCACAGTGCTGGTGGCGGCGTGGGTGCTGTGTGGGCTGGGCGTCTCAGGGCGGCTGCTCTACTCGAAGCATTCCCAATACGAGAGCCGCAGGGAGGAGGCGCTGGGCGTGTGGTGCAAGGAGCGCGCCCTCATGCTGCAGCAGCTCGTGCTCACCCATGTGGGGCAGATGCAGGTAATGCTGTTGAATTGGTGTTAGCGTCCTTGCCTCCTGCAGCATGGGTGCTGCCCTCGCGCCCTCGTGCTGCAGCAGCTCGTGCTTACCCACGATGGACCGATGCAGGTGGGATGGGATTGTTGTCAGGACTTTGCATTCTTACCTGCTGCAGCAACTCGTGCTTATTCATGCCAGGCAGATGCAGGTAAGGCTGGTGTGGTACTAGCAATCTTACCTCCTGCAGCATGGGTGCTCCTCTCATGCCCTCATGCTGCAGCGGCTCGTGCTTACTCATGTGGGTGGGCAGGTGCAGATAATGAGGCTGAATTCGTGTTTAAGGTATGTAAGCCTGGTTTGGAGCCAGGGGAGTCCCATCCCATTCAACACTTTTCGTTCTTGTCGTCGTCGTCGTCGTCGTCGTCGTTGCCGCAGTGCCCTGCCCTCTGTACTCCATCCCATGCACAGACACTCGCAGTGCCCTGCCCTCTGTCCTCCATCCCATGCACAGACACCTAGTTTTGAGGCGCCTAGTTTTGAGGCGCCTCAAAACTGTCCTCCATCCCATGCACAGACACTCACAGGCATCATCTCAGTGATGGGCAAGCCGGGGCGGAGGGGCAAGTGGGACAACGACCATGCACTTTGTGTTCATGACATTCACTGATGCTATTGCTTAGTTGTTATTCTCCCTGCCCTCTGTCCTCCCATGCACAGACACTCACAGGCATCATCTCAGTGATTGGCAAGCTGGGGCGGAGAGGCAAGTGGGAGTTGAGCACGTGTTTGCAGCGCATCACCTGGGGGGAGGTCTACCTCACTCGCACTGCCTTTACCCTGATGGTCTTCTATTCTCCCTGTCCTCCCATGCACAGACACTCACAGGCATCATCTCAGTGATGGGCAAGCCGGGACAGCGGGGCAAGTGGGGGCTGGACACGTGTTTAAACGGCAGCACGTGGGAGGCGTACCTCACTCACACCGCCTATGCCCGCCCGGGCAACACGGGGGCGACCGCGTGTGTCTTTGTCACGGACGAGGAGAGGTGAGAGAGAGGGAGGGGGGAAGTGGTGGTTGGTGGATGTGTTTGATGTGAGGGTGGGATAGGGAAATAGTTTCGACCTGGATCCAACAGGTAACTCGTCCTAATCTCCTCTACGCTGAGCTTAGGCTAGTAGTGGTGGTTGGCGGATGTGAGGGTGGGTGGATGTGAGGGTGGGTGGATGTGAGGTGAGGGGGCATCACGGGGGCGACTGCATGTGTCTTTGTAACGGACGAAGAGAGGCGAGAGAGGGAATGGGGATGTGGTGGTTGGCGGATGTGAGGGTGGGTGGATGTGATGTGAGGATGGGTGGATGTGATGTGAGGATGGGTGGATGTGATGTGAGGATGGGTGGATGTGATGTGAGGATGGGTGGATGTGATGTGAGGGTGGGTGGATGTGATGTGAGGATGGGTGGATGTGATTTGAGGGTGGGTGGATGTGATGTGAGGATGGGTGGATGTGATTTGAGGGTGGGTGGATGTGATGTGAGGATGGGTGGATGTGATGTGAGGGTGGGTGGATGTGATGTGAGGGTGGGTGGATGTGATGTGAGGATGGGTGGATGTGATGTGAGGGTGGGTGGATGTGATGTGAGGGTGGGTGGATGTGATGTGAGGATGGGTGGATGTGATGTGAGGGTGGGTGGATGTGATGTGAGGATGGGTAGATGTGATGTGAGGATGGGTGGATGTGATGTGAGGGTGGGTGGATGTGATGTGAGGATGGGTGGATGTGATGTGAGGGTGGGTGGATGTGATGTGAGGATGGGTGGATGTGATGTGAGGATGGGTGGATGTGATGTGAGGATGGGCCATATTCGAGTGTCTATATCAACAACGAGGAGAGGTCAGGATGGAAGGAGGGAAGGAGGAAAGAAGGGAGTTAGCGAGTAGTGTGTTTTGTGATGGCGCAAACCATGTGCTGGTATGCTAGGGTGATATTGAGTCGATTCAAAAACCATGAGTTTTTTTATGCCTCTTTCCACTTCCTCCCGATTCACCCCACACACGTCGCCTCAGGTAGGGGTGAGCAAGGGGCGAACCGAACAGGCGTTGGTGATTTTGCTCACCCCTAGCCGCAGGGCTCCTTTGGAGCGACAATACGTTACCATATAAAAAGGACAACACTAGGAACGTCAGCGCTCAACGCCCCATCTGCTACCCCAAGCTCCTCGATTTCTCCACAACGCTCTTTGCATTCCCTTCCTACATGAGCCTACCCACCCCCACACATCATTGCAGGGCGACCTTTGAGGGACTATACAGTACCATAAATAAAGGACAGCACTGGGAACGTCACCGCCCACCCTCACATCCGCTTGCTGCGGTTTGAACCCACATCCTTGTACATAAATAAAGGACAACACTAGGAACATCACCGCCCACCGCCCCATCTACTGCCCCAAGATCCTCGATTCCTCCACAGTCGTGGCAACAAGCAATGCCTCATGGCACACCGACCTCATGAAGCGACGTGAAAGAAGGAGTGTTTTGAGACGTCTCAAAACCTCATGAAGCGCTCTTTGCCCTCCCTTCCCACCTGATCCCACCCGCACACATCAATGCAGGGCTTCCTTTGAGTAACAGTGCCAATGCCTCAATGGCTGGCAGCCAATGCCTCAATGGCACATCGACCTTACGAAGTGATTCTCTCCACTCCCCATTCTGATTCCCTTGTTCCTCCTTCATTCCAAATCCCAATTCACCCCACGAACGTCACTGCTTCAGAGCGACCTTTGAGCGACTATACGGTACCATAAAGGACAACACTAGGAACGTCAGCGCCCACCGCCCCATGTACTGCCCCAAGATTCTCGATTTCTCCACAGTCGAGGCAGCCAATGGCTCATGGCACGTCGACCTCATGAAGCGATTCGTCAATGAGATTCCCCTTGCAGTGGCGGGAAAGGCGCTTTACACGTGGCCGTATCCCATGGCTAATTCTTCAGGCCATGCTGGGTTTGGTAAGTCCCAGCTATTAGGCTTTGGAGTCGAGAATATGGCAGGTTTGGTGACTATTTTTTTTTTTATCGTTTGAAAAGGCTTAATTGCAGTGATGAGATCTAACAAGCAATCAACGCACTTGCGTTTTGAAACCCTGCCTCAACAGCGTATGGGGCACTTGGGCTTCTAGTCAAGTTCACGAAACCTTATTGTTGTGCCCTCATATCGTTTCAATTCAATCAACCCTCACATCGTTTCAACTCAACCCTCACATTGTTTCAACTCAACCCTCACATCGTTTCAACCCTCATATTGTCGCCGCTGCAGGCTTGGGTTTTCCTCTTCGGCGCAGTGTCACTCCTCCGACCAACACAAGCAGGGCGGCTGTTTCAACAGTGTATGGGACGCTTGCTGCCTCTGTTGACGTGACTTCCATCGCACAGAAGGTCCTGGAGGAGCTGTATGCACCTGGTGAGTGAAGGGAAACGCACCTGGTGTACTCACCACTGCATTAGACACATGAGCTAGTCAGCTGCTGCAACGATAGCGTACTGTACACGCTTGCTGCATCCGTTGACGTGACATCCATTCCACAGAAGGTCCTGGAAAAGTTGTATGCACCTGTGAGTGAGGACGTATGAAGGACGAAGGACAGTATGAAGGACAGTATGAAGGACAGTATGAAGGACAGTATGAAGGACAGTATGAAGGACAGTATGAAGGACAGTATGAAGGACAGTATGAAGGACAGTATGAAGGACAGTATGAAGGACAGTATGAAGGACAGTATGAAGGACAGTATGAAGGACAGTATGAAGGACAGTATGAAGGACAGTATGAAGGACAGTATGAAGGACAGTATGAAGGACAGTATGAAGGACAGTATGAAGGACAGTATGAAGGACAGTATGAAGGACAGTATGAAGGACAGTATGAAGGACAGTATGAAGGACAGTATGAAGGACAGTATGAAGGACAGTATGAAGGACAGTATGAAGGACAGTATGAAGGACAGTATGAAGGACAGTATGAAGGACAGTATGAAGGACAGTATGAAGGACAGTATGAAGGACAGTATGAAGGACAGTATGAAGGACAGTATGAAGGACAGTATGAAGGACAGTATGAAGGACAGTATGAAGGACAGTATGAAGGACAGTATGAAGGACAGTATGAAGGACAGTATGAAGGACAGTATGAAGGACAGTATGAAGGACAGTATGAAGGACAGTATGAAGGACAGTATGAAGGACAGTATGAAGGACAGTATGAAGGACAGTATGAAGGACAGTATGAAGGACAGTATGAAGGACAGTATGAAGGACAGTATGAGACAGTAAGGACAGTATGAAGGACAGTATGAAGGACAGTATGAAGGACAGTATGAAGGACAGTATGAAGGACAGTATGAAGGACAGTATGAAGGACAGTATGAAGGACAGTATGAAGGACAGTATGAGACAGTATGAAGGACAGTATGAAGGACAGTATGAAGGACAGTATGAAGGACAGTATGAAGGACAGTATGAAGGACAGTATGAAGGACAGTATGAAGGACAGTATGAAGGACAGTATGAAGGACAGTATGAAGGACAGTATGAAGGACAGTATGAAGGACAGTATGAAGGACAGTATGAAGGACAGTATGAAGGACAGTATGAAGGACAGTATGAAGGACAGTATGAAGGACAGTATGAAGGACAGTATGAAGGACAGTATGAAGGACAGTATGAAGGACAGTATGAAGGACAGTATGAAGGACAGTATGAAGGACAGTATGAAGGACAGTATGAAGGACAGTATGAAGGACAGTATGAAGGACAGTATGAAGGACAGTATGAAGGACAGTATGAAGGACAGTATGAAGGACATATGAAGGACAGTATGAAGGACAGTATGAAGGACAGTATGAAGGACAGTATGAAGGACAGTATGAAGGACAGTATGAAGGACAGTATGAAGGACAGTATGAGGACAGTATGAAGGACAGTATGAAGGAACAGTATGAAGGACAGTATGAAGGACAGTATGAAGGACAGTATGAAGGACAGTATGAAGGACAGTATGAAGGACAGTATGAAGGACAGTATGAAGGACAGTATGAAGGACAGTATGAAGGACAGTATGAAGGACAGTATGAAGGACAGTATGAAGGACAGTATGAAGGACAGTATGAAGGACAGTATGAAGGACAGTATGAAGGACAGTATTGAGGACAGTATGAAGGACAGTATGAAGGACAGTATGAAGGACAGTATGAAGGACAGTATGAAGGACAGTATGAAGGACAGTATGAAGGACAGTATGAAGGACAGGACAGTGCACACCTAGTGTACTCACCAGGCCTGTCTTCTCTCTTTGAAAGTGAAGTGCCTGTCTGCGCCCATTGTTGTCACATTACATCATAGGTCAATTATGACCTTTGGCTCCAACTCTCGTGCTCTGTGTGAGGCCTTGTCCTTCTCCTTCCTCTCTTCCCAACCTTTCCTTCGAATCCCCATCCCCCCCACCCTTCCTCTCCACCTCCCCTCCCTCCCTTTCCTTCCATCTAGACTCATCAAAATCGTTTGAGATGTACGATGTCACAGACCGCTCCTCTCTCTTCGCCATCGTCTCACCAGTCCCACCGCACATATACTTCCGCCCCAACGACGTTCGCCCCAACATGCTGCCCTCGCCTCTCTCCGAAACGCGCCCCTGGGAATCACCGGCGGTGGTACCTTTGGATCAGCTGGGAGCGGGCGTGAGAAAGTACGAGGCCTGGTGCAGGTGAGATGTTGAATACATTCATATACAGATGTATGTTCGCTTGTTACTGTTGTAAGAAATCCTTGTCCTGTCCATGTTCCCTTAACAGCGGTGTTTTTTTTTTTTTTCGTGAAAAGGCTGTTTTTTGCGAGTTCATAACGTAAAAGATCATATGCAAAATCTAACTGTCTAATATAACCAACATGCCCTCTCCTATTACTCCCCCTCTTCCAGGAACACAGAGCCTCCCAACGCGTGGCAATCGTGGGGCATCCCCATCCTCATCACCCTCTTCGCCCTCCTCCTCGTGCTGCTCGTGGTGGTGGCGGCTCGGATTCAGCGAGCCCAGTTCTTCCAGACGCAGCAGCAGATGGCAGTTGCAGACAAACTGAGGAAGGAAGCAGAGGATGCAGAGGCATCAAAGAGCATGTTTGTGGCGTGCATGTCTCACGAGCTCCGGACACCGATGATGGGGATCGTTGGTACGTACAGTGTTCATGCATTATCACCGAGTTTGTTTTATTCTTCGCGTGAAGAAGATTCGGAAGGGAGCGGAGGCGTCAAACAGCATGTTTGTTGCGTGCATGTCTCACGAGCTCAGGACACCGATGATGGGAATCATTGGTACGCTTCTGTGCGTGTGCGTGCGTGCAACAACAGAATCCGTCTGCTGCATTGTCACAGCTGTTGTTGGTTCCAGTCACATGAAAGTCATAGAATGGTGGTCTAAGACTTTGCTAACATCAACCCCATTTCCTCAACCCTTGCTCGTGAGGCCTATCCGTGTCACTTTCTCCTTGATGCCATACACATTCCTTTCTCCACCCCTCTCTCTCCCACCAGGCATGCTCGATGCTCTAGCAGACAGGAGTCTCCAACCCCCTCAGCTATCAGACCTCCTCACCGCACGAGGGTGTGCAATGGATGCACTGCATCTGGTCAACCGCGTGTTGGACCTGGCGAAGCTGGAGGCAGGCAAGGCGGTGGTGGATGAGACGGTGATTGACGTGCGGGAGTGGCTTGATGCAGCATTGGGCTGGCACGCAGAGGAGGCGCGCTCCAAAGGCATTGCGTGTGAGTGAACAAGTTTTTCCCTTGAATTCAATCTCTGGCATGCTTAAAACTAGTTGTCTCTCAACACATGTATATGAATGAATGTAACCTACCCTTGAAAAATATGTGTTATTTGTGTTGAAACACCCGCTCGTGTGCTCCTCAAAAGTACAGCATTGAGCACCCTTTAAGTCCATTTTTTCTTTTGGATTTCCACCCACCTTGTTTCTCCTTCTCCTTTAGTTTGCGGCAGTGTGGACGACGGTGTTCCGAATTACATTATTGCGGACCCGATGCACCTCTCCAAGGTTCTCAAAGAAATCATTGGTACGTGTGCGGATAGTCATGACCACGTGCCAAAGCCCAACTGATTCAGCTCGAGCTGCTTCAAAGCAGCGGGTGGTTGAATTGAACATGAACTGTGCAGTTCTTCTTTACACAGCGCACTCCTCTGTCTGTTGACCATAAGCTTTCGGTTCTTGGCTGATAAGCCGGCTGAGCCAAGTGGTCAGTACGCAGAGCTGGTGGGGTGCCTCATGTACCTCATGACTTGCACTCGCTCAGTTCTCGCATATCCCCTCAGCATCCTTGCTCGCTTTGTTGCGATTGCGAAGCACCGATCCGAGCACTGGTCGGCTGATAAGAGTGTACTGCGCTATCTCGTTAGTGCATTAAGCTTGGAGCTTGTGCTTGGAAAACGATTGGGCAGGTAAAACAAAAGAGACAATCTTACGTTAAGGAAAGGATGTACTGTTTGATTTCCCTGTCAACGGTTTTTTATTGTGAGGTTTGAAATACTTAGGAAGAGGGACATTGGTCCTTGACAGCTGTGGTGCACTGACTGATTTGGCTTGAAAATAAAAAAGAATAGAATCAAGTACGACTCATGTTGATTGGACACGCCATCAAAACGGCTGGCCTGAGCTGGGCCAATCCATCCCAATACTTATGCGATAAATATGGGTGCCAACTCGCCTTCCTCAATCGACACTAACTAGCAGTAGTTGAGTGTTCATTTTCTAATCCTCAGATATGCATGACGAATGATATTATTTTACTCTTTGCTGTACACTACCACCTCGGTTCATTTCAGATAACGCAGTGAAGTTCACGGAGCAAGGCCACGTGACAGTGCGGGTGTCCCTGCTGCCACAAGGAACAAGCTTGCAAGACACCCTTCATCTCCAGGGTAAGCGACCTTGTAAGCACTGACATTTACAGAGGTCACTATCTAAATAACCCTCATTCACTCTGTTACACCGTTATCCATTCTCGCCCCCTCCCTTTGCATTCGCGTTTCTCCTCCAGGCC